GTCTCTGCACCATTAATGCTGAGTGCTCACTCTAGTTATGCAAATAACAAAATCCGACGGTCCAGGTCCTACCAGAGTGGAAAGTGCGGCTGAAAACGGAAGCAAACACACTCCCGTTCGATAACGCAATGAGCTCATCGCGAGTATGCGCTCCACTGCAAGCGCGAGATATGCCGCGCCCGCGACGTCGTGGATTACTGAATGCCGTTTCATCCATGCGACATAACAAAATTAATACATACAGAGCATCGACATACATTTGGTGTTAACAGAAATTACCTATACTATTTATCAACTACCCCTGTGTATAAGACTTTTAACACGATCTCTTGGCGCAACATGCGAATGAATGTGGTTTTACATTACAAGAACTAATCATTTGTCACATTCAGCACTACCAGATAATCTGACTCTTCTCCTTAGACGTTTCTTGGTCGGTCCACTGTTGATTTGTACTTTATACCATCTGCATACAACTTATAAATAGACCATGAGGTGCCTTTGCCGTAATCCCTCTGAGCGTAGTGAGTTTCTTTATAAACCTAGCAGTCGCTCTAAATAGTTGACGTTGGTTCCAAGGTACGATGCAGTGTATGGGACAAGAACATTATTGGTGAGTGACAGTGAGTGTTAATGTTGATAAGCATCTAAAAACTGGAATTAAACTCGATCGTCACCTCATTTATAGCGTCGCAGTCACCCTAGGATATGGTGCGACAGGTTCTAACATATGATGAAGGAGATGTGACGGGAGATATCACTGATCTTTGACAGAAATGAGGGTACCACCTGACATTGGCTGTTGAGGGGCGTTGCTTCCGTCGGGGTCGTACAGATTTCACACCACCAAATATCGAACTTTATTATTGGACACTGGTGACGTATGGCAGCAGATTATACCAATTGATAAGAACAGATAACAGGTTGCCTTTACTTCACTTCTCACCACTCCACTGTCAAGTACGACAGCAGTGTTGTAGAATCGATATGTAATAGACTTAGAGAACACGTCTTGGGAACTTTGTTCTGTAAAAGTAATGTCTGTACACGCCCCCCCCCTCCACCTTCCCCACCACCCTTTTCACCATTTTGTTGCAAGAAAATAGAAAACGTTTGAAGGACCGTCAGATGCTACGGATTCATGCCTGCTACACCTGCTCATTTTACGCACGCGCAAATTTCGAACCTGCGTCTTTCAATTGCACTAGAGCACATTTGCCGACACACCCCTAAGTGAGGCCTATTTGAAGAGCGATAACTTCCTTAGATTTAGACTGTTTGGGAAAAGGAAAATGTTGTGTGAAGAGTTGTAAACTTTTCGAAAAAAGCACTAGAAGTGCCATTTCTGGATTTCAGTAAACTGCATGTGGAAGCAGGGTAAAGCAACATGATGTGTGAAATGGCGTTGTCTGTATACCGCCGTCCCCAGAAAAAGATCCTGATACGACTCCCTCCCTTCCTGCTCTGTTCCTCTGCCGAGAAGGATTGGATACGTAACGATTCGCAAACGCTTGCGGCCGCGTTATGATTCCATGGAAAAATAGCGGTATAGCAGATTTGCTGGCGGGTGGAAATCGCGGTGCTCTTTCTGAGGATGATAGCTTTTTTCAGATGTGGGTCTTTCGAGAAACGGAAGCATAGTGAAGCAATGTACTACTGTTGGGTTTCCTACCCACTCGCAATCTCAACATCTCCCCGTTCGTGAAGTGTTTCGGATGGGTTACGGACGCGTTAGGGGTAAATCGCTAGCGGTTATCATGCCTCAGACGAGAATAACTTCTTTCGAAGGCAATCTTTCGCAGAATCAAAGACCGCATCAGAACGCCCAATATTTTCTCTTTCCCAGAAGCTCTATAGTTTTCGTGGAAACCCACTAGTTTGGGAGATATTTTGGGTGGGTCACTTCTGGGCAACATTGAGCCCCTAAAACCCTCGACTCCTTTTGTGCCATTTTAAGGGGACTCATTGCAAACCTCAATGTACCTCTGAAACATATATTCCCTTTCAGCGGAATTAGAGCATAATTTGGTTTACCATCGATCGATTTGGTCCGAGTCCGAGTGCATTACGCAGAGGCGGTGGAAGATATAACTTCTGATTTTAGGTGATTTTTGTCCATGCAAGCAAATGTTTGGGATTCAGAAAGGTGGATACGCACGAATCTGTTTGAGACGTATTATTTAGTCATCGACGTATTCATGGTAGCTATTGATATTGCTGATCAAATGTTTCAATAATTTGTAGTCTTCTTTACGTCAGGGCCCTCTGCAGCATTCCGCCTGCTCCATCAAACTTAGCGATGACGCTTTTGCGGTGTTCGGTGGTCATCGATCCTGCGTTTACGACCCCCGCCCTTTCCATCCGCTGATTACGACCCCTTGCCCAGCCCCATAGGTTTCGCACAACCATGCGCTACCCTGTGCGGGAATTTCTAAGCCTTGCCCCTCTTGAAAGTGGAAAAAACTGCACTGCCTTGTGAATTTTCCGATTTGAAGGTGTGCTGTACCTGCAAGATGGATATCTGCCATGCGCGAGGTGAATAGGCCTACAGATATAGAAGGGAGCCATTTCTGTCACTTCAAGGGGCCCGGGTTCGCATCTGGAGGGTCGCTATAGTTGCATGTCGTTTCAGACTCCATGCACGTCGATGCGTATATCCCGCAGCGTTCAACATGAGCAACACGTGCAAAGAACACCTGCAGGCAACTAGCGCGCCCAGACATAGTTTGGCGTATGCCTGGCCGTGCGGCACGTTGCGTCTTCATGCCTGCTCTATGGGTGGGACCGGAAGTAGAACTGGCATCCGGCCATCACTACTTCCATGCCTCACTTGCTAGTGACGGAAAAGGCAGGAATTCAACTGCGTATCCGTTCAGTACATGGTAAGGATCAGGATCTTCGTGTTCCCTGCCATGTACTGAACGGATACGCAGGCTTAGCGTGTTTCTGAGGTGTTCATGCTCTTGTCGAGAGAATTCCATGCATGGTGCGCCAATTAAAGTACCCTCTGTGCTGATCTGTGTACTGAGTTCTGACTGCCTTCAAGGTAACTGCTGGTCTAAGATACCTGAATTTTCCTTGTTCGCATGAGTTCAACGCCCACTTGCCCCGGTGTCAGTAGAGGGCTTTTTAGTTTAAACACAGAGAACTGAAGCTATTGGAGAGCCGATTTATTGGAGAGCGGCTTGTTCTATGCTCTTCTTCCGCTTTCAGATGGGCTATGTAGGTCGCATCTAATATGCTACTACACTTTTTGATGGAACTAGAACGCACGGCACATCTCAAAGCAAACCGACCAGCTCCAGCTTTTTACCCCTTATTACGACCTACCCAAACCTGTTGAAATAGGTGACCCGGTAAGTGACCTCGAAAATTAGTTTCCCAAAAAGTATACCGACATGAGAATTTGCAGCTCCAAATGCTGCCACTTCCAAGAAACTATTCCCGGTTTTTGGGATAGTTTGCTCTCTGATCGGTACGTGCTGTGATTTATCATATGGCTGCCGTCTCTGCAATTCTAATTTTATCAAGTTCGTCATTTTTATTCATATCTCCAGTCATAAAAGGAGCGTGTGACAAGCGTTATCGTTGATTTTTTTGCCGATCGTCAGCCCTTGTCACTTCCAAGAAACTGAGATTCCTACTGCTTCGCTCACTAAATACGTAGGTGTGTTTATTGCTCTGTAAATGACGCGGAACTATTGCTCTACTTACAGTTTGTAATATTTACGACTGCTTAATCATTACGTGTACGTATCAAAGCTGACCTGATCTAAAGCTCCATCGATTATCCTCGAATCTGCAAATTTATTCACAGTTCACAAAGTTTTTTCTGAGCTTCGTCGCACATGCTCTTCTCTCCTGCTTTTGGAACGATCACTTTGCTTTGTTGTCCCTCCTCCTGGTTCTATTGGAAGAATACTCTTTGCAGATCTAAATCCATTTAGTTTGTTTATTTTCTTGGTCATTACCAGTGAACTTCAACCCCGTAAGGTAGCGCTCAATATGTGGAAACTTTTGCTATATCATCTTCCAGAGTTGCACAGAACTTTTTCGCACAGACTTTTTTCGAGCTTCATTGTGAATTTTTGGCCACATCTCACGATTTTCGTTTTTTAAACGGGTTGTCTTCGGTAATTCTGTGCCAAAATAACTAGATGTAATTTATTAATGTATTTCAAATGTTGACAACTTCTGTCATTTGCCCATAGTGGGAGGTCTACATTGCAGCGTCGTAGGTTACTAGCTAGTATTTCTTTGCTGGTTGACTCGAAACACTTTGGCACTTTAAAGGCGCGGTGAACACCCTAGGCAGGCTTTCCATCCCTTTACGGTCATTCTAACGTGAGACACATTGCGCGCAGATGAAGTCACCGAAAATGCTTCAATTAAGACCCCAGCACTGGGAGAGCATTTTGTATTAGGGAGAAACACTACTGGCGCTCATGGAGCAGAGGTCGATTAGAACTCCTAACCCAACGCCCTTCCACCGCTTCGGGGCGAGTTCGAAAGGTGGGTCCCTACTAAACGGCAAAAAGATAGTGATATTCATATAGAAACGTCGCCCATAAAATCGGCCGGAATGTGGCTTCATGGTGTAAGCATCGTGATTTGCGAAATGGTGGTGTAGGTACGACCACCTTATCTCCCAGCGACCAAATACGACACCTCCCCCCCCTCAGTGGAAAAGTACGACTCCCCCTTAAGTGTTTAACAACACGATGCTGCACCCTGTGTCTTCAAGAAGAACATCACTTTTATTCTCTGCCAAAATAGATGAGTCTCGCGAGCATCGCTTCGTGACAGCGTCGGTCACAAGTCACTTAGTATTCTATTTGTAAGACATTTTTTGTTGCACTGGTCCCGCTTGTACTCTATCTGCTCTATGTGACGCTCTCCATGGTTTTTTTCTTTTTTAATTGCCTCTCCTTTTACGACTGCATAAGTCTGTTGTTAAAGGCGACCTTTTATCACTAACAATTTTTTTTGCTCGTTCAGATATGACGGTAGCTGCCGAAAGAATCGAGCGAAATTATCGACGACGTTCGTCATTTATTCAAGAACAGCGACGAGAAAAACTAGAAGCACTTGCGGCGCTTGATGAAGTCGAAGTTGACGTTGTTGATGGAAAACCTAAAGCGGTAACCATATCGAAAATATTGGTTTTACGGGGAAGCTTTTAATAGTTTTTCGCTGTTTGAAGCGAGTCCTAAGATCAAAATATTTCGCATCTGCCAAAGCCGCACAAACTCTATGTGCGTCCTTGCCAAGTCTGTGGCCCACTATGCATGCCATCGTTTCGCAATGCACGAGCTGTACCCTAAGTAGGCGTCAGCACGGTTCTATTAGGTCATCCCGTTCACAAGTGCCGAGACATATTGATGAATGGCAGAAAGGCAAAGGAGATAGAGCGTTTGGAGATTATTGAAGACCGGACCTTTAGCTATGTATCTGTGAAATTTTGCGAAAGCTTTCCCTATAAGAACTTCTCGAAGAAATTGAAAAGAAGCCGAGCCATAAAAGGGAAGTGCGCTGCTCAAATTCGACCGGCATCGGATCAGTAGTTGTAGTAATGGTGTTCTCGATATACAAGGTGGAAGGTTTGGTTCAGGAGCCTCGAAGAAGGAAGAAAGGAAAAAATTTGTTGTCGTGGATGGTCCCATAATGTTCATCCTGCACAAGAAAAAGGGTGGATGAAGTCAAGCGCTGAATGTCTGATCCCAGAGCCTGGACCTTTGTCGAGCATCGACAGTCGTCGAGTCGTCACTGTCGGCGAGTCTGACATCCCAGCTGCAACTGCTGCCCGAGTTATGTCCAATAATTTGAGGATGGTCAAGAGGGTGTGCGCATGAGTACCTAATTTTCTTGTAGAAGCTAAGAAACGGCAGTACGGTTCTGTGGCTGTAGTAGTTAATATCTCTCCGCATCTAAGACCGTCATTCACGACTGTGAAAACGCACCCCGACCCTAGACGAAATATGGGTGGTCTCGGACCTCGAGCCAAAACTCACAATCGTCAATTTTGTATGAATGCAGATGAGAAGCCGCCCGAGTTCTACCATGAAGAGTTACGTGGGCGCAAGTGGATGATCATCATAGCAAAGGATTCCCACACTGTGGCTTTTCAGCGCGCTCTAATACAGAGAACAAAATCGTACCCTGTCCGTGTATATTGCCTGTTCCTTGGCATTCAGATCAACAAATGGATGATACCACACAGTTACAAGGAGGCCACCGTTGCTCGTCATAGTGCCAGTGTGCGAGTAACTATACTGTAGGGCAGTGCTCTGAGACCTGGGTTCAATCGCCCCATTCGCCCGACATAAAGCCGAGCGCGATTCCACTTGTGTGTCGTCGACTTCTCCGACGGCAAACGCCACAATGTTCTGTCATTCGCCGAAATTGGCATCAACAGCAATTACTCGCGGACTTGTTGAAAAACCGAAGGTACCAGAGGTCCAAAGGCTTTCGGGGCACTGGGAGCGGGTCATTGGTGAAGGATGTGATGCCACTTCATCAAAGGATTACTTTTCTATCTGTTTTTCCCCAGCGGTTTCTATATGAATAAGATTTTCGGCACTTTTGAATGGGATGACCTAATACTTAGGACCGGGTCGTGAGACATTTTTGCCCATAACTCGAGTTATTTCGGAAAACTGCTAGTATGATAGGGAGCAAGATCTAGGCTATACGAGTGCTGAGGGAGAATGCACTGTATTGTGCACCCAAAATGCACTGTATGCTTCGGCTTGACTCTCTATGCAATGTACGGTATTGCACTATCGTACTGAAAGAGGACCTCGGGGTTAAAGTAGACCTTTAGACCTCATGCCGCCCTTGAGACTGTAGCGTACCGCATTGATAAGCGATTTTGGGGCCAGGATTCGATGTGAGAATGGGGTTGTACTGAGAAAAAAAATTTCAACAAAATTAGCAACCAATAATAAATCCGCTCTGGATTGGAATTGTGTAGGGAGATTGAGTCCGCTAAGCCATATATAGCTTATATGGTCGCATTCAGTCGGGACCGGGTCAGGATAGGTGGAATGGGTCTGGCTTCGGCTGCGTTTTCTACCAATAGTGATCGATTAGAGATCGAAGCGGGAAGGAAAGAAGCAATTGGTAAGATTTATAGGCCGATAGGGGTAAGGGAAGGGGGGAAAAGGAAGGGGACCATAGGCTTTCGCCTGCCGCGATTGTCAAGAGTTGGTATAGACTGCAACTATACCAGGTTTTGAAAATCTTGGCATTCACTGGCTGGGCAGGGTGGAAGCCACGCATGTTTATATTCCAGGGCAGTGATCAAGATAAGACCTTTGAAAACCTACGAACATATGTTTACTTCAACTGGCCAATAAAATAAGGAACTTTGATTTGAAACGGCGTTGAAGAAGAAGCTGAATCAAATCCCATCTCATTTTAGCGCTCCTCTCGTCACAAATCCGTTAGCGTTTGTCTGCCGATGTCCCCAATGATGCCGGAACGTTCCAACGCAGTTGTCGATTTTCCCCGTCCCAAAGTTCACACAGCTCACAGAAGTGGCGCTACTTCACGCTTCATAGTCGAGCGAAACTGTCAGCCGGAGTCGCTTGAAGCTTTCGAATTGCGGAGCGTAAGGTGAGCAAGACTTGTTTGTTTCTAAGTGCTTTATCAAATCCTATAAGGAGAGCTCTTTTTTCGCGGCTCCTTTCACTCTCGTGCTAGCTTTTGTGGCTTCGCTTACTTTAGCTCTTGACAGGCTCAGTACAATGCTCATAGTAATGGGATGCTCACCATCGTCGACGTTCGGACTGAAAAATGGAAAAAAAACTTCAGGAAAGTTGGGGAAATAGATTGGGAAATGGGATGGGAGATGGATAGGGGACGAGGAGGAGGGGAAAGAGTCGAACTTGGCTTGGTGCAAATTTTATCTCATTACTTTTATTATTTTGGTCTACTTCTTTGGAGCAGACGTGGAGCTTTATTAATTTACTATTCCTTTACCTATGTGGTTCACTTCACCGGTCATGAACATGGCACTCCTTTTCAGCGCTGGCGCCAATAGGACTTAATTTAGCGCTACACCTTGTTTTTACCGGAATCGATATGAATTTTAACACTATAGGTCATGTCCGTGTTTTGCCACGATAGCATCCATTGGCGACTTCGACGCTTTTTTTTCACCATTTCTATCTTCGGCTCGAGATTGGACGCTCACTGGTGCTGAATGGCGCCGGAGCGCGGCTGTTATAGTCGTAGTCGGGACAAGGAACCGACCTAGTGTCTAACAAGGATGGTTTCAGTTTTCTATGGAGCTTTGAAAAGAGACCTAGTTACATCGTCGATAGACCTTGAATGGTTGCAGCGAATATGGGGATTGAAAGATGACGTCGATTTTGGTAAAAAAAAACTGGGCGCACTTCGACGACAGGGAGGGGCATTTTGCACTTTCCGCTATTTCACTGCTGCCAGTTTTGTCTGGTGAAACGCTGGTTAACCCTTGGTGAAGGTGTGAGCCAGCTCGTCGAGCCAACTATTGGTAAGTGTCTCTTACAAGGGAGGTCGTTCAGGGCGTGGTGCGCTTTTCGAAAACGGTTTGTTGCATATTGTAGGGGCTCACGCAAGGACCTGAAAAGTGTGCTTCATTTTCGCTGCGCGCTTCCAGGAACGGTAAAAAACGAGTGAAAAGAAATCTTTGGAATCTGCTTCGTTCTGGGCCTCTTTACGGCGTAGGTCACTTGCAACTTTGACCAGTTGCTGAGTGGGGGTCCTTATAAAGGGGCTATTTGAATCGAAGCGAAAAATCGCCGCAAGTGAGCTTCCAACTTGGGGTGTGTAACTGCAGAGGGTGAACGGCTTCATTGCAATGGTTTCATCAACGATAAGAGCGCTAGCAGTGTCGAGCATCGGATGGCCTAGCGGATAGAGTGGAGGTTTCGCAATCGACAGTGAGGGTGGGGTGATGGTTCGGCTCCCCTTGCGTCGGGTGACTTTTTGCATTTTTTGGATTTCGCTGTTCTCGCTTCCATTTCTGTCTGCGCTTGAATATAACTCGGATATTTGCCATTTATGGGCACATTCTGAGTAGCTGTACCTCAAGTAAGTGCTATTCAACTATTTCGATTCTCACGCACCATTGAGCAAGATTGTTGCTGGACGTTGATCCTCATAGGCTATACAGTGGATCTGATTGCGAATTTAGTAATTCTGGTGTGGTGCAATTATAGACAATTTGGGGCCACATCTTCTTCCACTGAATTCGTTATGTACACCAATATAGGGAACGTTCACCGCTATTCTGTCGCCAAATTGCGTGGACGCCAAGAATAGGAGTTATATTTGTGATCAGGGCCACTGATTACCAAAAAACGAATTTTTGGTTAAAACAATTGTTTTGACCTTCTTGGGTTTGCTTATTGGGTTGTCCGGTGTCCGTAGCGCCAGCGATACTTCATCGCTGTTTACGCACAAGATGTCGAGCACTACCGCTTCACACTGCCGACCAAATGGTCGGTCACCTACAACCCGAAAAAGTCAAAAATTTTTTCGCTGAAAACTTGTTCCTAGGGGTAATCGACAGTCCTGATCACGATTCTAGACTTTATTTTCGGTTCCAGTGCCATCTGGCACCGGCATAGCGCCGAAGAGCTGAGTCTGTGCATACTAACGAATTCGAACGAAAAAGCAGTTTTGCTCCATAAAAGTAGGATTGTTCAGTTTATCGTGAATGTTTTTGTTAGGACCAATTATTTAGACAAACATGGATCCAAAAAATGAAAAATTGTAAATTTTGTCCTCGGCGGGATCCGAACCATCGACCTATTTTTTACGTTTTTTTTTATTCGTGGAAGCGCGCAGCGAAAATGGACCTCAGTTTTCTGGTCCTCGTATGTGCCCCTACAATATGCACTTCCATTCGTGGCTTACATAGATACCACAGGTCTCGCACTTATTGGCTCGGGCACTGAATCGGCTGGAGAAGCAGAAGTGAAAAATGCCCGGCTTCGTAACCGAACTGCGGAATAAAGGAAGTGGCGCCAGGCTGAGGGCAAAATCGAATGTCATTGTGGTCAGACCACTGAATAATGCTCTTGGGCGAATTTCGTTGCAAATTTTCTTGAGATTTTGTGGTGGCAGTGGCAAAGTCGCACGCACAGTCACGGTTGCCACGTGCACGGTCCGGGGACCAAATCCGAAATCGACTCCCGCCCAGCGCAACAAAGGCTTCCCTCCTCCGAGGACGGTAAATCGGTACCAAATTCGTCAGGGAGGAAGAGGGACACTGACTTGTACGGCTGGCCCTTGCAAGTCAATATATAGTCAATATAAGTCAATATAACATATATACATCGCATTCAGTAAGTCACTACGATTCTGAATGAAAGTAGAATGCACGACCAATCCCACAAAGGGATTGATCGACGTCAAGAATTCATCTTTAATATCCCTCGAGGTACAACCCAATGAACAATGAGAGGCTCTGGCTAATTTGGAAAGCCTAGAGACTGCCCTGAGTAGAGGCAGACGGCTGCATTAAGTCGAAGAAGTTTGTTTCAGCGGCTACCACCGAAATTCGAAGCAATATATGGAGCTATTTAGCTAAGTGGGGGGGCGGGGGGCAGTTAAGCCAGTTCTCGCAGCTAGTTGATAATTACCGACTTGTGTCCCGACCAACAAGCTGACTCGAGCTGCTATTCCCAAATTAGCTATGCATCTATCATGCTGGTCCCCACCATCGTTACATTCGAAATCCCCTGGGATACGGTAACGGCCAGTGAGCTGCGTATCTTAGAAGCTGAACGTGACGTCTAATGCTGAACTCGTTATTGGATGAATTTATTTTGAGCATGGGGTGTTATGATCACTTCGTGTCCTCTTTTGTTTTATGGCTTTTCTTCTAGGTTACGTGGTCTGTCAACGTCTGAAGTATTTCACGAACCTCCCGCAATGTATGTGTACCGTGAGCGACCTCCTCCAACCGTATACCGTAAGTGTCATAGCTTCATCCGGAAGAATCGACAGAACCTTACCTTACAACAGATTTCAGGCAAGAAAACCAATGGACAAGCCTGCATTGCGTACATAAAAAAGCGCAAGCACACCTTATGTGCGTGGACGTGCGGAATCGCGGCCATTGCTCTGATGACAACCATTATAGGACTGCAAATCAAGGGCGATCTTTGATGGACAATATCCAGTTCCCGTCCTAAATGCAGAAACCACGATAAGTGGTCTCACAACCAAACGCAGTGGTTTTTCGTACCTCTCAGGAGGGATTGGCTGGGAGATGTCTACAGAATACTAGAAAGGCGCTGTCGGGACTGCCCAGCTGATACCTTTTATGATGCCTACTTACGTTTCAAACGACAAAGGAAGGGAGGGCAGGTGCTGATGAGAAAGAGGCAGAATGATGGCTGACTCCTATGCATATGCCGCAAGCGCTCACCGTGTAATGAGAAGGCTGAGGACGGCATCACTCTGGCAGTGTAAATCTGAGCAAGCAACAACCTCAATCATTTTTGGATCAGTTCGGTAGAAGCAGATCTGGGTTAGGAGATATGAGATGCGGTCGTTTCTGTTCAACCGTATCGCACGTAATTTTTAGTCATGCTCTTTCGGAATCTTTTAATTGTCACCTGTTTGTTTTGTTTAATGATCACTTGGCCGTGCTATTTTTTTGAAGCAGGATATGCCGTTAAGTAATATCCATTCACTTTGGTTAACCATTCACTTTGAAACGTGATTTTCTCAACTGCGAATTAGATGCAAGTTATGTGTATAGTAGTTATTATTTATTCAAGTTGATGGCAAATTCTATGGTGCTGTTTTGATTTAAATATATCTGAAGAATCCATCTTATACACTAGGTTGGTGGTTTGTCATGTCGTTCGAGACTGACCTTGTTCTTCCGAAATCGGGCTTTCTATTGAATATAAGGTCAGACATTTCGCGGTTTGCGGCTTCAAGTCTTGAATACACATGAACAAAATTCAGTAATTAGAATAGCAACCATCACTATCAACATCTGCCAGTGAGAAGAAAATTTGTATATCCTGCCAGGAGGGTTTGTTTGATTTTTTTGAGGTAGGTCGTGTGAGGTTGTGGGACCAGGCGCTCGTGGAGGCCCCTTTCACTGGGCTCATGTCTACAAGTTTATAGTACGTTCGACGGCTTCTCATCAGCGCTTTCAGCTGTAGTAGTCTCGTTCGAATCCGTGCTGTGGTGGGACAGGCTACGCAGACCACCACCATTACCTTCTTTCCATACGTTGTCAAGGAGCCTGATACTTGACACGCCATTGTCCGGTTCGTCTTCGATTGTCGTACGTAATCCATTTATCATCAGACCTCACAATACGATCTCGAAATGAGTTGCATCCTCAAGAAAAACGAAAAAAAAACCAGTGCGGACGAGATATCGAAACGGCTATCCTTCCCTCCCTGACTTCACTCGGGTGGCACCCAATTACCAGGCTCCCGATATCTGGCTTGCAGCTTCCGGACTTCTGGTCGTGGATACAAACCTGTACGTGGTGGTGAGGCGTCCTGCACGAATCATTCAGTCTTGAGGCGTCCTGCATGGAACATTCAATCTCCAGATCTGCGAGTTTAGATTGATCGCGGTGGTGGCCTCTTCATTCTGTAGCTCCACGAGCCACAGTTCCTTCAATTTAAAGGCAATTTCCGCGATTAAATGGTACGCGAAATGCCTCCGTGCATTTGGCATCGTTGTCCGCATTCGCAGAGAACGTACCACTTTCGTCACTCGAAACGGCGAGATAAAGAAGCTAGAGACGCGTGATTATTGCAACCATTGCAACCACGATTACTTTCACTCTGCAAGACAACGGCTTACAAGCAGTGTGTACATAGCGTTGCCTGGAGCGTCGTAGGGCGATTTCCTATGCTCTTGCCGGGAACTGGTTGCACCTAGAATCCTGCTGATTGGGCTTGTCCTCATGATGAACTCGTCCAAGGCGCCGGCCCCACTGCTGAGGGGGGGGTCGCTGTTCAGGGTGTCCCCGTAGTTTTTTTTCACTTCTTTCTCTACTGGGAGTTACTTAGGGGCTGCTTGTTCATGATTGGGCACCTACTAACCGTGGGCATGTACTGACCGTAACACTTTATCGTTGGAATTCTCTTTAAGCATAACGCTAAAGATAGCTCGATAATTCAAAGGCTCGGTCCGCGATCAGGTATAGAACTTGAAGTTATGACGTTGGGAAGGTAGTGTGGTCTGAGACGAACAAATTTGTATCGGTTTCGCGGCAAAAAAATTGTAAGGGAGGGGCGCTATAGCGCAATATAGGTTCAGTGACGCCTCCTTTTCCAGTGACTCCGCCTCCAGACTCCGCCTTCAAGGCCCGCCTTTCAGTGAAAAACGAAGCTGCGGACGAAAAAGCATGAAAATCGTCACTTGTACGATCGTAGAGTTCTTATCGGAGAATCAGGCGTGTAAATGAGGGCGTACTGTTGGAGGTGTAGTTCATTGGGGCCTACAAGCTGGGATCGAAATGGGGCTCCACTAGGACAGCTGGCATATTTTCTTCTGCTTTTTTTCTTCACTATCGGGCACGTTGTCGTCTATATCCTAATCCACTATCTGCGATGGCGAATGATCGCGGGCTTTGCCTTCAAGGGAATGACTTGTGCACATCACTGTCTCCTTCATTTTGGCCTCGACAATTCTCATGTTCGAGCCAGAGCAAGGAAGGATAGTAGAGAGCGCAAGTGCGACGCACATTCTGGAGTGGAACTGATGTCGATCTGGCAAAAAGCGAACTTTGGTTGTTACTGTTCACATTATCGATCGATTTAGAGTGAGGACATATATGAGGGAGAAATCAGGGCAAAACTTTCCCGCCGACCCAATCCTTTAGTTTTTTTTTGCTTGTTATCCAGCATACACTTTTAATCTACTATTACAGCATCACTTTGTTTCAAATACAAACTTTCTCTTTGACTTTCTTCTGGTCGCCGACATGCCTCATGGAAAATGAGAGGAAATAGTTTTAATGAATCAGGAGCTGGATCTTTCCCACTTTTCTCTTTGAAGCTGTCTCAGTGGGTTTGCCTTCTAATGATTCTGTTTGATTATTCGCTTGAATGACAGTGTCTGAATACGGGTAGTAATTCATTCCAGGTAATCATGTAATGTCATGTAATGTAAAATTCAAGGTTATACACCTTAATGAGTAGTTCAACTCGAAACACATTCCACAAGTACTTAATACGTATGATGCCTTCCTTTCCGTGTAGTCCGATCCACAACATCGTAGGTTTTTTCACTTTCTGAACTCAATTGTGTGGCGAGTGCGCTGTGGCCATCACTGGTTGAAGGAACGCCACCAAAAAATATTGCTTCCGTTCGACGACGACATATGCCGTGGGGCCATATCCATTCCAACAAGCGTAGCGCAATGACTCGCCTTTGTCTCCGTTCTCTCGCCTATGCAACAGTCTCGCTTCTTCGATTCCTCGCAGTCCTGGAGTCTTATTCGGAACGTCATCGACGGTTTTATCCATCATTCATTCTGTGGTAAGACAATCGGTGTGTTGACGAGTGGAGACTATTACTGCATCGATGGAGCCGGAGAAGATTGCTCTGCGACCGTACATATCGTCTGTATCAGAGGGCAGCACGAGGCGTGGCTGCGTATTCCGACCCTTTTCCTGTGTCTACGTCTCTAGCTCCCTCTCGTCCGGATTCACTCCGCTCTCACAGCCAGGGTACAGCACCCTTGGCAGAATCCCATCCGCGAGGACATGGTCTCTACAGAGGAGGGTCATTCTTGCCGTTGAGAAAATTTTTTCCGAGCCTCAAGCAAACTTTTCCTTTTTCCCGTTCCCAGTTATGCTTTTTCAATTTCTCCCGTTTCATGCGCGCCCCGACCCGCCCCAATAATTGTTATGCAACTAGTGTTCCCGATAGCTGGAGTTAGTACATAATTGTTTGGTGTAAACCCCCTTCCTCGCTCGACGGTACTTCTTCAGAAAAAGATGAAGAGAGTGTGACTTTTGTGAAAAAGCGGGAAAAGTGCTGAGGAGTTGGGAAAATTAGGACGATGGTAGGCGGGAGGACAGAGAGGAGGGTCGTACCAGATGAGGACATTTGAAAGAGGAGAGGGTAGGAGTTGTGCCGACACCGCTAATTTTAGCACAGTGCCCTGCTCGCAGCTACGTCTCTTATGGCCATTCAGTAAGGAGTTAATGTATAGTGTGCAAATCATGTACGTTTCATCAGGCTAAGAAAACCCTCTATGCCTCCGGGAGCAAATAACTGGCACTGGTTTATTGCCTAGTAGTCAGTCTCCGCAAGCAATTGTGCAAATCAAATACATATTCAAATGGCATCACGATTCTACAGGGAGGGGATATGCGTTGCGTATCCCGCTAACGTTTGCTTGACCTTTTATGGTGATATTAATTCAAAATCAACTTCATTCATTATGACAACCGCAAGTGGCTTTCTCCGTATTCACGGTCTCCGGTGGCGGCAGTTGAGAAAGTGGTGGAAAACTCTCAGCAGGTGTCGATGCGGTGACCGGTTCGACCGTTTCACTTTCCTGAAACCCTAGGACCTTATTGCTGAAGATAACCGTGCTTTTGAGATCGTGCGGGTACGGGATTGTTCTTTAGATCTTCTCTTTCTACGGGTACGGGTTTGGCATGCAACATAACAGAACATAAGAAAAAACTCTGTTCATAAAAATCCATTCAAATGTAATAATAACTGCATGCGCATAACAATAATGAGGTGAATATAGGAAAATTGACCACTGCCACATCTGAACGATATGACGATCGATGGGAAGGAATAGTAGCACGTGCAACTCTGGACAAATCAAGGTTGCAGAGATGATGTTGACATAACCACTGGTCGATTCCGAGGATGTGACGATGACCAGCCTGAAATCGTCTGCGATTTTTGATTGAATAGTGTGTGAAGGGATAGTGCACGCTGACTGCATAGGCGTTGCACTTCCTTGATTGATGCGCTCCTTCTCCTGAGGATTGCCGCTTTCAGGGATGCTGTATTGTGGTTCCTTCGAGGGTAAGGGTTACATAACACAGGAGAGCCTATAGAACGCCGACGCAAGACAATACGCTTTTTCAGGGACAAGACAAGCTGCACACTCACATTCGTGGATCCTGGTTCTAGGGGTGAATGCGTCCGCAGCTGCAGCAGCGTGCCACTTTCTCCTTTCAAAAGTGCTGTGGAACGGGTTAAAGGAATAACCACGTACCCTCTACCTCCCCGCGTCGCCTGACGAATTAGTCAGACGCCGCTTCACTTCAAAACAACGAGCAGGGATGGGAGACGGTGTTTGGGTAGCACTACCATGCAGCACCATCTCCGTGCACTTGTATGGAGAAAATAGCTCGCTTCTGTAGCTGTGGGTCCATTGGCTTCGCACATGGCAATCGGAGATAAGCGTTCGGTTTGTCCTTAGTCCCCAGCTCAAAGGTACGGTCTGCGAATAGGTATACAAGTTGGAAATATGGCATTGGGAGGGTAGTGTGGTCAGCGACGAACAACCTTGTACCGGTTTCGCGGCAAAAAATTGTAAAGAGGGGCGCTACAGCGCAAAATGGGTTCAGTGACGCCTCCTTAACTCCAGTTACTCCGCCTCCAGACTCCGCATCCAAGGCCGCCCTTTCAGTGGAAAAAGTTGAAAGTTGCAGGGGAAAAAAGCATGAAAGTCGTCACTTGCACGGTCGTAGACTTCAAAACGGGGAATCAGCTGTGCGGATGAGGGTGCTGTGTTGAAGATGGAGTTAATTGGGCATGCAAAACTGGGACTGGGACGAGGTTGTTTCTAGAGCCGAAATCAGAAATAGTTGGTTAGGGGTTGGCATACAGACAGCAAGGCAAGGCCGTTGGCATGTTTTTTTTTCTGCTTTCTTCTTCACTATCGAGTTGCTCAGCACCCTGCTGTCTGTATCCAATGCCACCACTACAGGGTGGTGGGGGCCAAAAAAAGTCACCCTGCTGCCTCATTGACTTTCGAGGCGCTATAAATTACACTTTATCAAATTCTGATCGGACATTTTTACTACCATATTGAAGAGCATATTAAGTACTATCACGACACTCCGCCACAGCCTTCTGGACGAACGCCATCGAGAGATTCTGGCACGCGACCGCGATGTGGTACCTGAGATCAGCGGGGTAGTCGATTTCTCCGCCACCGTAGACCACCCTCTTGAAGTCCGCCCGAACTAGGTAATTGAGTGGGTTCAGGTCAGGGGACATACTTCAATATTACATCTTCCTCCAGGTCACGTAAGACGCCTTACGCATTCGAAGTAGGCGGGAGTTTTTCCAAAACCCTTCGATTCCATGTGGTGGCACCCAAACCTGTAGCAGCACAAGGTCTCCAAGAAGGTACGGGCGACCACATGTAGGGAGGATATTCTTCTGTAGAGTTACTGATTAATTCCGCCAGTCGCTCAACCTTCAGTCGGTCTACAAAAAATCGTCTTATCCTTTCCAGGTACCCCGGTCCATACCATTAACTCGCGCCTCGGCGAATACGGTGAAGATGATGTCCTAGACCGTAGCGACGTTGCCGTAGCTGCTCGATGTGGGAGGTCCCTCGCAGATGCAAGAGTACTGTATCTCCAGTACGGCTATCTGGTTGGATTGACTTCATTCAAGAAGTTTTCAGCCTGTTTGGAGGCGACGTGAATTCCAAAGGTGTTCTCCAGTCAGGCCGCGACTGGAGATGACTTCATATTTTGGCGTACATGAAGGCGATTGGCGGCAGCCTGCTCCAGCTTATAGAGGAAGATCTTGGGTATCTTCCTCTGGTACTCATATCCACTTCCCCTGTCTGGGCTGCGAAAACTTCGTTGATATGTGGCTCGGCCGAAATGACTTTTTTTGCCCCCCCCCCCTCCTGTATTTCTGAATGGACAAAGGTTTGATGAGCAACGACGTCAACGCATGTAACCAAAGAATACTCAATCCAACTCGATTATAAGTCAAAACTGATCTGTTCGTTGTTCCTTGATTTTAATAGTCAGACCCACCTTCAAATGGCTCCAACTATTCCGCTCGTTCACAGAAAGACAACCTTTGGTGTATTTACCGTTATGCTTCTGAACAAAAACAGTAGTCGCCATTGCAGAAGTGCTTCGTATCAACCTGGAAAGAGAATTTGCTTTGATTGAGGGGAAGCCCCCAAAAAAACTTGAAACAGAAATTAAGATCCTGTAAGGCTCACAACACTTTCGTTCTTTGCACCATGGGAAATGTAACACCGGACCGGTCCAGCTTGCACTACAGGCAGTTTGGTGTTACATTGACTCTGTAATGGGTGATTCCATACACTTCTCTTGTCCTCCAGCAGCATAATGATACCCAACCTTTGAGCAGAAACAGTCAGTGACGCTTTCCATTGGTTGGTACTGAATACGATAGCAGCCATTCGCATACAACCCAGGAAAATCTATGGTATTCCTAAGTCGCAGATCAAAATCGAATTCACTCTTATCACCACAATTATAGACGGTGAGTACGTCTGGAGGAAAGTCCTCCGAGTAAGTCTGCAAAAACCAGTTTTTATATGATGCAACAAATTCTTGAAAAGGTCCTGTTTCCTTCCTACCTCGGTTCTTGTCATGTGGCAGTAGTTTGAAGAGCAGAGTTGTTCACGTTGAGCACCCACATGGCTAGTTCCGGTCTGAAAAATGACTTAAGGGTCCGCAACAGACTTCTAAATGCGATTCCCATGGATCAGGAGTTGAAGACAAACTGTGAGCTCAGCTGGCGAGCTGCATTCGAGTGCCACTTTCTCTGTTTAAAAGTGTGCCGGCACGGGGGAAAGGGACTGTAGGACCCGAGTGCCTGTCCTCCTAACCTCATATTGCACTTGCTTCGATAACAAGATCAAGCAGCTCAACACGCACTTAGCGGTAGACAACCAGGAATTAGGTGCAACAAGTAACGTGTTCAGCTAGCAGCGTATAGAGACGGTCTCCGGGTATCACTACACTCCAGTCCGTCCTGGGCGAAGGAAGCGGAACGTGCGGACCCATTCTCCCTATACACGACAGGATCCACAGAGATGAGTACACTTTGATTTCTACTACTTTGAGTTGACCCTGAGTTGATGGATACATCCCTCCGATATCTTTTCTCACTGTGTTTTAATTCGTTCCCTCAATTTTAGACGGCAGAGGTTCTTCAAGCTTCGCGGCGCATCCATTCGGAAGAACTTTTTTCAATTATAATCCCCATTTGCAAGCTTAGTGAGCATGAAATGTCTCCTCATCTAGTCATTATTCCCGTTCCCTTAGTGCATTGCTGTCATGCCAAGGAATAGAACAACAGTGGGTACTGCAGTAGCGCCCTCTATGTCGATCTAGAACCGATTAGCTTCTATTGAGGGAGAACTGCTCGTAGCAAGCACGGAAGAAACTAGAGGGCAGTAGACACAGGAGGAAACGCCTAGCTCATGCTGTACACCATCAATTTTACCTTGGGCAGGATGGCAAGGTACGTGGAGAACCAAGATGATCTACTCCTCGTTCTTTTATATGCAGGAGAGAGTCATCACCGTCGGCCTCTAGAACGTACGCCTACGTATTGCTTCACCTTGAAATTCTACATGATCTCGCGGGTAGAGCCACTCGCTTGCATTTTACTGGTGTCTGTTGGTTTAACAATGAAGAGCACAACTTTTCAGGTTTTCTTTATATCAATATGGGTATCACACGAGAAGATTTGTTGTTCACCATGAACTTCCAAAAGAAACTAGTGGAAGTGCAAAATGCCTCCTAAGGCGAACAGCGCCTAGACCATCATTCGATTTTCTTGCTTCAACCTGACAATTAGTTCATCGACAAGTTCCCTGGGGTCCCACACACTCTGATTTGACCGACTCCACAGAAGCAATAATGTAGGGCACCATGCTAGGTTAGTTAAGACACAGGTACGATCACACAAGTTTTGGGTGTTGCGTGACTGACCAGCCCCCAGCTGTCGAAGACCTCGGCAGTTTCTCGCCCTGAGGAAGGATGATACAGGACGTGGAACACGCTAATTCCTCCATGCTCCGCCCATTGCGGCCCACATTCCCGTTTAGGTCAACAACCGTCCGCACAGCGCGTGTCGCGCGCAGCGCTCTTGGCACTTTGCCAAGTCCTGTAATTGCGCTTTGGAATACAAGTAAACGCAATTTCCTGATGCGGGTAACATTTGAGGGTGCTGCAAAAATAAGAAATGAAGATAATGGACGAGGTCAGAACTTCAAGAGCAAACCTGGGGCTGCTTTGCAACATCCCTCGCGAGGTCCGCGCATTCCACAAAAATGAAAATAAAAACGGTCTAAGCGCCCCACTGGTTAGTTTGAGGCAGTTGGCACGATGGTTTCCTACTCGGCCTAAAATGCTGGTAGGGGCTTCAACCCACTGAGAAACGGAAGCTGTTTTTCTTTTTCAGGATTTCGTTTTCACTCCGTTCTTTCGCCATTTTCCCCCACTATACTATAGCGCCCTATTAGCATTCACCAGCTTTCCAAGACTGTGGAAAGGACTCCGATGTGACGTGAGCCATGGCGCTAACCTCCATAACTGATAACATTCAATAAATATAGAGGTTGTAAAAAACAAAATACGTACCACTTTACTGACACAATCAACGACTTGAAGTCGGATGACAGGCAGAGGTCTCATTGTGTTGTCTGTTCTCTCTACTCGGTTGCACAAATCGCCATCACTAGAAATGGATGTAGTTGGGCGAGACGTTCCATATCATTTGCATTTTTATTTTACATATAGTCGTTTTGTGCGCTTCAACAGCCCAGGTTCTATCTTAAAATGTCCCTGATGTTGATCTAGGGTACGGTAAGGTCTATATTGTCAGTCGTCAAATGAACACACTTCTGGAAAAGCGACGAGCTATTTGTAGTCGCTTCTGAGCCACAACTTGCTGACTTCAAAGGCAACAAACGATTAAGCAAAGACGGAAGGCAACACGGGATAGCTAGTATTGACGTTTAAACTGAGGATTAGGATAGTTGGGAGAGTGCTACGGCCTCCAATAATAGTATAGTACATAGCCCTACATGTTCAAAGTGACAACTTCGGGCTTCCAAAGGAGCGTGCGTTAACACTCAGTAGCCCTTCTAGTACGCATATGGTAAGCTCGCCACTTAACAGTATATATGTGTGGAAGACGTTACGTATTTGTCAGTGGGAGGAGGAGCGAGGGGGGGGGGGCAAGGCGCATTATTATTGCGGGGATCATGAACGTGAGGTCATGCTCGGCTGGAAGGAAGTGGTGTTTCCCCTTGACGGCGAAGCGCGCGTTCATTCGGCATCACAGGGGCTTGCGGATAGACTTCAAGTTTCTGTGTAACTCGAAAGTAAAGAAAAAAAACAGAAAAAATATGCCAGCTGCCCTAGATAGAACTCTTTTCTATTCCGATCCCAGTTTGGACGTGCCCAGTTAA